TCTTATCGCCACCAAGGGGGGGGGGCAGTTGCGATGACTGCGACGATGCAGACGGAAAAGAGGCAGAGACGCATGTATAAGAGAGAAGAGTCCGCATGGGAAGTCGCACCCGACGAAGTAATAATGGCTGCAGAAATGTATACTATATGAGATCGCAGCTCATACATTCATCGAAAATGGCAACACTCCCCATTTCGAGTCGGTAATTTATTGGCTAATGAATGTTACCTTAGAAACAGTTTTGAAAAAAAAACCAAAGAAGCCTCGTAGAGCCAAGAAAGCGGATTTCTCAAGAATGTTGAGTGTGAGTAGAAGACTTGACCTCGGGTGGGATCCTCATAGGTGGGACTCTAACCCACACATTATGCTTACCGTGCGAGTGCGCAACCCACTGCACGGTCCTTCTACCTTCCCAGCTCAAAGACTTCATGCTACTAGGCTTTAATGCGCAGGTTCGAATCCACTCGAGGCCAAACCTTCGCCTGTAACTCAGCATTCCAAAGATAAGTTTCGCACCGCAATCTGAGGCGTTGAATTGCTTCTCATAATACAATAAGTTCAAAAGTGCTCCACTGTGAATGTTCGCAATTTGAGACTTTTACCGTGTGACCATCCCATACACTATTAAAGATGGTAAACAACCTATGCTCTTTTTTCACGCTCCTGACTACTGCTAAATAAGCCCGGAACCAAAAACGTACTTGATGTCATGCCACCGCTCGTCGTCTTTCTTCAAAAAGGTGAAAGGTTCATCCTTGAACATTTTCTGCTTTTTGTATGCAGGTGCTCTGAAATTGCAGAAATTGCACAAACAAACAGAACCAACTAGGGTAGAAGACCACAGCTGTACCCCACAACCACAGGACTGTCGAGAGGCTTCTCCTCGACTTTTTCCAAAAGTGCAACGAAGAAACCACCCGTATCTTGATGATGAGGTACAATGCGCATGCTGAAAACGGCAAATTAACAACAAGACAATAAATCCACCTTAGCAATTACCAACACACATCAGGCATGAAAACCTCCTACCAGGTAATCTAGGTGAAGGGAAGCGGTTTCTTTTTCGCTAGGCGGGAAACACGACTCACATATCATCTTTCGCAGCTGTTCTGGTACATCAGAGGGCTTATCGTACCATGAAATCATTGTCTCGATCAAAAACCTGCAAAAAGGAGGAGCTTCCAGTCAAAGCAGCAACTGATCACACCATAAAGAAACACTTTGTCACATCCAATAGCTAGTTTTCACAACAGGGGGGTATGTGGCTCGCCTCTTTAGCTCCAGCGCACCCTCCTACTGCTCGTACACCCATCCCTCACCCGCATCCACACGGCCATCTCAGCCTCACCGCACCTTTCAACCCAATAGAACTGCGATAAGCCTTCTTCGGGCTCTCCCCGCCCGCTGCCTTCCCAACGCCGCGAGAGGCATCGCCAGACGTAGGAGTACGCACCCATGAAAGTCCGAGCTGATGTCTCTTTACGCGTCAGCCTGGGCTGATCAAAAGCACTAATATTACGTCACGTTTGCCGTTCGACGCGGACTTATACGAGAAATTGTCCCCACTGACTTGGAGTTGCGTTCTTATGCACTGACACTTTGAATGACTATAAATGTCCATGACTTGGTGGTCTATGTGCAATTCGGTGCTCCAGTCGACGGTTAATACAATTTAAGAAAACGCCGCGCGCGACGGAATGGTGAATCACGATTGTCTTGACCGCCACCTTTTTCTCGGAGGGCACAACTACCAAACATCGTAGAAAGCCTCCCTTGACGTGTTAGAGAGGAAAAGCTAATCATGTACATGAGTAACACTCAGCAAGCCAGCCCAGATTCCATTCTAATATAGCGTCTGGCTTCTGGTCTACACAGAAAGTGAAAATCAGCAGTAGCAGTGGTAAGATCACATAAATAAGGACAAGGGTCCATAGGCGCTCAAAACCCGTCTAGAGAAATCGTTGGACAAAAATCAAATGGCTTCCATACCTTCCACGTGGAAACTCCACGAAGACCAATAAGCTTTGGTAAAAGAGGGTGAGCATCACATAGTCGTAACGTTCCTTCTGATTCTCGTAACAGTTGAGCGACAACCGCTTCATCCTCTATGGGATTCATGGAACATGTAGAATAGACTAACCGACCACCGACCTTCAACATCGCAGCACCCCTAAATCCCGTTTTTTTACCAGTTATATTCACAAGTAAGAATCCAAGAACTTGAAAACAGCCCTGTTATAGAAAATGCGTTAACAGTGAACAAAAACTGACCGTCTCGCTATGGATAGTTGCATACGATGTAGCCCCAAACCGTCCTGTGGGGTCCATTTACCCCAAATCTCTGGATTCTTCCTGAGAGTACCATCTCCGCTGCAGATTACATCGCAAAGAATACGGTCGAATTTCAGTGGCACGTCATCCTGGAAAACTGTCTATACTCTAACATGCTCAGAAAGTGTCAGCGCCAACAACGCAAACAGGAGTTGTTGGTAGAAAAGTAAATATAGCACGTGAACAAATTCTATGACTAATCAAACAATTATTGATTGCACGGAACCATTATCTCGCAACATCAACAGCTGTATGAAAATATCGCTTGAACCGACACGTGAGAACGACAGATTACCCCTCGAGATGCCCTGTAGTTTCACAACAACAAATGAACCCTTCCGATCGAGAACAACAATCTTCCCTTGAGATTTTGAATTGGTGCATCAACTGATGCAATTTTCAATAGTATACTGGCGACCAAACGATTTTTCACATCTCTATCCCATGAAACACACCCCTTTTTCGAAGCTACTTACTATTACTTCTCATCTAGGAACGCTCCCAAGCCAATAACAGTACTGAAGCTCAAAATATGATACAGAAAATAGCAGAGCTTCGTTGATTTCAACAGTTCCTACTTAAGTTGCAAGCTTTGCACCATTTGATCTTCTCGCCTGATCCAAGAAATCTGAACGTAATTTCGGAAAGCGGCAATCCGCAAGCAGGTTTGATCCAGGTATACTAGTAATAGAAGTAGCACTGGTGGACTGCTAGGGTTATGAAGTTTGCGCTAATGAATTTTGGGTATGAAAGGTAAGGGAGGATAAAAGATGAAGTTTTCTCTGCTGATTAATCCCTTCCGGAATGCAGAAGGAATCCATCTTCCATTCGGAACCGCAGTGTGTTGTTGAATGTGCTGTGGCTTATACAATGAATTGCGAGTAATAGCCGATGTGTGTTCGTATCCCCCTCCCCAGACGAGCCTGATACAACTTACCGTCCCTGAAGAGTAGGATGCTTGGTTGGCTCAAACGGGAGAATCAGGGATTTGATATCCGACCACATGTGAAGTAAGCGTGCTACTTGCCATTACGTCATCTCGCTTAACCAACTTTACACCTCCGAAAACTACCTTTCCACTTTGAAAAAAATTAATTGCAATGTAGTTTCGGACACCATGCGGCTGCTAAAAACTTGAAATGTGTTCAGGAAAGTCTTACTGCTAGTCATGCTACACCCCAGCACTGATAAGTAACCCACTACAGAGCAAACTAGCATTCTAGCATTGAGATTTTGCCGCTTCTCTCATTAGAAGATGCATAACTTTAAAGAAAAGCGATTTCTAATGCCAATTTTCTGATCCGTTCCAGATACTTGAGAGAACAGCACATATCGAGGATATTTCTAAGGCCTTCTTCGTGACTGTGCCGCTCAACAGAACACAAAATAATAGAGTGAACGCTCGTCAATGATGAGCCTAATTGAGCAAGTCCCACTAAGGATTAAAAAAGCATTGGAACACAGATTTTACCATCTCGACAGCAAGAGGAAGACAGCTGGAGTAAGAGTCCATATAATTTTCCCCTCTATGGACACTATTTAGCCGATCTTAGAGAGACGGATTCAGAGAACTAAACAAAATACAGAGAACCACGAAACCGACAAGCAGCCCTTGCGACTAAACTATGGGCGTATAGCTGGACATTTTACAAAGGCCTATGGTGGCCAGTGGACCTCTCCAGCGCAAGAAAAATGCTTCATTACCACCTAAGATTAAAAAAAAAAGCGAGCCACAGCTGCAAAAGCTGAAACTCGTGAACAGAAGATAGACTTGAGTTTGGGACGAACGGGACAACTAGGGAGGCGTCAGAACTGCCATTTGTGAGAACCGCAGCGCCTTTCTTACTTACCGTGAATCCGTCAAGTGGGACAATTTTGGAGACTGAAGACTGGAGTTTTTTGTCCAGGGAAGGACACCTACAAATTGGTAGAACATGAGGGACTGACTTTGAGTTCCGCTCTTCCTTCTGTCTACACACAGAAATCTGGCTCGCAGCCCAAGTCCAAGTTGCCCGTTCGAACAGAGCTACGGATTGCGTGCCACAAGTTCTAGTGAAGTCGTAATGCAACACTGGCAGCCAGCAAAGCCTACTGGTTCAGACATTTGCGAGGGAGTATGCTGAGTAATGCTAGGGAGATTTCCTTGTTGAAGCAATACATGAGCCCCAAATAACATGTTTCAGTGGGCTCGAACTGCGATCTTCCGTTGTCCCATATTGGTTTCCATGAACGCCTATGAGAGTAAACACCTGCTACTTGCCTCCGTTCTACGCACTTACGATTTATTACCATTCACTCCTTGATCGTACTTCTCTTACTCCACTATAAAACAAACCAATTATATAAAATGGCTGATGAAGCTAGGGCGTACCCATGCCTTCTAGTATGCATCTTTGTCAACTGCACACTCTTGAAACAGCAATGTACGTTCATATAGTAGAACTGTGCTCATATGAATCAAAGCACCGATCTGTTCAATGATCGCTTATTTTTTTCGAGATGTCCCAAGAAACCGAGCAATATTATGAACGGCTCACATTCGACTCTCGATTATCTTTGTTGACAAACAATTCCAAGAAACGATGCTTAAACGGCTTACATTCGACTCTCGATTTACCTTTGTTGACAAACAATTCCAAGAAACGATGCTCAG